CATGTGGGGTCAAATTCAGGTATATCTTCGTTTAGCTCCATTTAGTTCTGCAAAACTGGATTTGGCTTGTAAAGTGATTTCACTAAGCTTTACAGACTAGCACTTGGAAAGAGGTAACACTAACAGGTAGAAGTGAAGCATTTTCTTTGCTAGCTGACTGTACAGCTTTGCCTACGTCCAGTGCCCCCTGATTCATGGATTTGTATTGTTTTACCCATTGGCAGGGGTGGCTGAATACTGCCTTTTAAATAATTGATTTGCATGATATTGTTATTTATTTAACGTCCTCAACTGCTACCTCTAACAATCCTCAGTGCTGATACAGCGTGGGTTTTGCCTGTCCACTCTGTGGGCCTCCTTGCAGCTAAGGCATTTTAAGTTTACTCTTCTTCACAGTCTTGTAACAGCCCTAAAGCAGTTTCAGCAACAGTTTACAGGAAATAATGGGAAACCACTGAAGCTTTTTTTTTTTTTTTACTTGACACTCAATTAATGCAATACAAGTTTATCTTTTTCCATAACATTTGAATGCTTTATTATAAGGTTCATTGTTTTGTTGCCAACTCAGCCTCCCCAGTCCCTTGTGTTTAGTTTTTCTCTCTTCTCGTAGTCTCTGGCATGCTTTTCCCTGAGTCATTGCTCTTCTCAAATGTTTCACATGCTGCTCAGCCGTTAGGTCCTTTTTCCATCCTCCTGCCCAGGCCACATGGCTCCACTGGTGACTTGGACCTGTAAAGGCAACTTGGTCCTCCTAGACTGAATCCTCACCTTGGTTCTGTCTTGACCTTACAACTCTTGCTTGCTTACAGAGTTTGGATACTTGCATAAGAAGCTCGTTGCAGGAAGAGCCAATGTGCATGTGACCACTAGCTGTCCATAAGCTACCATTTGAGAGCCAGGGACAGATTGACGGATTGACTGGGAGGAAACCAAGGGCATTGATACTCCTATGTTAGTGCTGAGCATATGCTCCTGGTGATGTGAGAGGCAGCCCCAGAACCCCCACTCTGTCTCCATTCTATTGCAGTTGTGCCTTGTCCTGAGAAATTGGTGCATTTTCCAGCTTCAGAGCTCTATACTAAAATCAATTAACTGATTGCCATAATAATCAGTAAGAAACTAAACTGTCCAGATTTAAAAATCACATACTTAGTGCCTCCTTCAAAATTGAACAAAATGATGATAGCATTTGAGATAGGCCAAAAAGGAATATCTACTAGAGCTTTGAGTGTACTTGAAATGGCACCTTGTGGTTTGAACATGCCTGATCATGACCGAAGAAACAGTGGTTCACCAGCTACATATCTAGCAGCTAAATAGAAAGAAGGTGAGTGAAACACAAGGGTTTTTATCATATAGTTTGTATATTTTATTTTCTTAATATTCCTTCTTTTAAATCTTGATCTCTTAAAATAGGAGAGAACGCTTGTGAGGCGCTTACAAATAAAATGCATAGAACAACAAAAGACAGGATGTAAGAATTAAAACAGAAAGAGAAGTAACATACTGGAAAGTAAATTTCAATTTTATAAATAGTATTCCTGTTTAAGGATTTAGGAACAGAAATCATGTTCATCTTCTGCTTCCCTCTCCTCCTTCCCCCCTCCAGATAAGCTCCACATCCATCTCGCGTGTCCAGTGTTGTCACACCACTAATAAAGATTCCTGTGGCTCTTTGCTGTCAGGATGTCCAGCAACAGAGTAAGTTCAAAAACTGTAGATGGATCACTTTGATAATGCAGAGAAGAAGAAAAGCTAGGAAACCAAGACAGTTATTAGAGGAAGGGGGCTCCCAAGTGGATTTGGTTTGAGTTCACTGCAGCAACATGCAGAAATTCTGTTGCCAGGGCCTTCCTTACTTGTATTCTGTTTTCTGCAGCTTTCCTGTTTTCATGTGGCGCCCAGATTTCCTTTGTATGCCCTTGATATCCTCAGCAGAAGGAAGTTTAATCCATTCATCCCCAAAGGCTTCTAATTTCATGAGGGGGGCCCGTGTGCTGGCCAGGAGAGAAACTGATGGCTATTACTACCGAGGCCACATTGTGAAAGAGGTGAAGGTAGGTGTTTACCTGGAACTAAGCTTGTAAAAGGCTCTCCCTAAGTCCTGTGTGTCTTTTTTCCGGTCCTTTTGCATCCCTTCCCCAGCTCCGTGTCCCTGCTGTAGGTTGTACAGCATACTTCATATTCGCACTTTTCTCCCCACATCCTATTTCATCTGTTTTCTGAGGATGACTGGCTGTTTACTGTGAGGAGTCCTGCAGGAAGAAGCAACTTGGAAATCAATCCACTTTAGTGGTTATAATGAGTTGTTATTCAGAAGCAGTCGAACAAAATAGGCCCCTTATATCCCTGTTGTCTATTTTCACCTAGTTTTACCTAGCAGTAAAGCTAAATAGCATTAATAATGGTAATCCAAAATGTCTGCCCCCAGGGACTACTTCCTCCTTGCTGGACTGAGAGCTTTCCTTATTTTCTTCGTTCTGTGTTCCTGGGATTTGTGAGATGATTTAGGATGCCAGACAGAACATGGCCCCTGCAACTCTCTCTAAAAATCCAGTTCATTTCCCAGTTCACAGGTTAGTTTAAACAGACAGTGATGCTAGTATAGCTAAGGGTAGCTGTAAACTCCAGTGAAGGGAGGAACAGCTATAGACAGCTGAAGACATGAAGTGACTTTAGCTGGGGTAGGGGCTGACAGCATTATTTGTGTATGTTGCATTTATAGATGTGCAGAGGGGGTGAGATTTTGGTCATGGAATCTCTGCCCCACACCCAGTGCTGGAGGCTTAAATTAAAGCAGTCAGATTTATGGCAGTTAGGATATTTTACTGGTTTGTAATGCTTTTGGTTACCATGTAACTAACTGCATCATACCCAGCAGTTTATTTTGGTAACTCTTTTCCTGATGGACTCATAGGGATCTTCCTTAACATGCCAATTGTGTTCCTCTGAGCCAGATAAGCCTACTAAAGCCTAAGTCTGAAAACAAGGGAAGAGAAGGCTAGAAGGCTGTCAACCCTGTAAGCCCCAGCTTTTTAATTACTTTTTAAGTTCAATATGGACACAGTACAATGAAAAACCTGGTAGAGAAGGAACACTACATTCACAGATCACGTTCTGCTTCCTGGGATTTCTGCCACTTCCCTCTTAGCACTTATGTTTGGCCGTTAATTGGGCCCAGATGTCTGTCTTGCAAACTGCATGTTTTACTCTTGTAGGGCTCCGGGGAACGCTTTCTAATTGAATTTGACAAAAGTCGCACGCTGAAAGGCAAGGTACAGCTTCGCATGCAGGAAACGCCTCTGTATGACATTCTTCACTATGAAGATGCCAGGCAACAGCCACTTGCTCCAGGAGACAGGGTTTTGGCACCATGGGAGGCTAAAGCTGAGCGCTTTGGCCCAGGCACTGTGTTAATGGTTATGGAGGACAAGGAGACACGTTTAGGTACGAGGTATTGGCTTTCCAATTAGTGCTAGGCTCACCACACTTGCTAGCCACTATACAGAAAAGAGAACAGTCTCAGCTGTGGAGAATTTACCCACTGCTGCTTGGTTTCTCTTCCTTTTCTCTTTTTTTGTTGGCACTAAGCAGCCTGTTTTTTTTTTCAGCCCCAGAATTAATGCTGCTTCCAGAATTAGCCCAAATTAGAATTCTTGCTTTATTCTGTGAATGGAGGCTTTCTAAAAAAGTATGGGGGGGGGGGGGGGAGAACGTTCCCCCTGACACAAGGAGAAAAGGAGAAAAATGTTCCTGGCCCTCTTGAATACTGACCTGATCACCTGTTAGTCTAGTTTCCAGCTTCATACAGGGTAAAATCCTGGCTCACTGTGACCAGTGAGAGTTTTGCTACTGCTGTTCACCTGTTGTCTCTTCCTAGCAAGTCCAAAAGAGGGTCAAATCTTTAGCCTATAAAGAAAAAATGGTTACCAAATTGTATGTAGCACAAGCTATTCTTTTATTGCCTTGCTTCTAAGAGATAAATCACACAGGTTGACATGCTTCTCATACATTCTTTGCCATTCTGTTTTATTTAATATGCACAGCACACAACAGAAGGGGAGTGCTTGTGAATTTCTGGAATGGGCAGACTAAGGAGGTAACTTCTGACCAAGTTCTGCGGATCCCTCTGCCCTTAAGTGAACGCATCATCCTAGAACTGCAAATGCCTTTAGCAGCCAGGCAGATGGTGATAGCTTCAAGCTCAGATTATCCATACGTTGTGGCACCGGGTTACAGAGCCTCAGGCTGTTGCAGACAGGATCATTCGTACCTGGACTACTGGCCAGGGGGTCTGTATTCGATTCAGCCGTGTGTCAAGTGCAGCTATAGGTGTATCTCACTTCCCCACTGCTGCCTTGCAGCCTGGGCACCAACACAGCCTACAAGGAGCAATGTACAACAAGAAGATGCCCTCATCCCGGGAACAAACTTGACTAAAGAAGAGCTGAGCAGAAAAATAGAAAAGCAGCTGTCTGAAGTGAAGATCTCCATTTCAGAAAGTGTTTCCAGAAAGGAAGAGAAAAAAGAAGAGAAGAGATTGAAGACTGAAAATGTGCCAAAAGATGTTCAGTCTTGCATGGAAGAGGACAATGAGGTTATAGAACCTAAGAAGGTAACAAGTGCTTCACACCAGCTCTTGCATTAATATGTGGTCTGATACTTGTGTAGTTTCTGCACTGTTACATGATGCTTTCTGCTCTTGATACTGAAAAATGACTAGAGGTTTTGGGCTTGACCCTTATCCATGCCCCCTAGAGAATGGAGAGACTTAGCTCTCCACTGTCCTCCTGATCCTTTGATCTGGAAAAGTGTTAGAAGCTGCCATTCTTTGTCACTGGCTGGCATAGACTCCTAGAAGTTCTTCCACGGGTGCAGAATATCAGAAGCATAGCAGAGCCCAGTCCCTTTTCATCCTGCCTCTCTGCGTATAGGAAATAAAGGCAGGAAAAAGTGTCAGAGAAGAAGGCTTTGCGCCAGGTAAGCATTACGGTAAGGATTCCTTCATACCAAGGCAGTGCCTGACATACTACTATTAAGATATTTCTCTACCCATAACAGAGGTGCCATCTTGCTGTATCAAAGACCAAGAGAGACTTTTGTGATCTTTTGTAGTTGCTTTGGCGTTTGTGAAAGGGCAGTGGATGCGGATCAGTCAGGAGGAGGTTAATGTGCACCAGCTACTGCCTAGCTTTTCTCTATTGCCCTGCGAGAGCTATTATTCTTTAATAAAGAACTTCCCCCTCACACATTTTTTTTATTCTTTCTCAAGCTTCAGTTGCAAAACAGCAACTTATTTTGTAAGTTATGTTCTTTTCCTTATCAGGTTTGGATTTTGATAGCATTTTTTGTTGTTTCTAGCATCCTCAGAGGGAGATGGCTCATACTATGGTCAGTACTGCTGTCAATACAGACAGCTGGTTAATGGAGTCAGTACACAAGGAAGAAGCACACAGCAGACAGCAGAAAGACAATACTGAGGCTCATCTTAAACATGATCATGGTACTGAAATTGTAGTTGTTTTATACAATTATAAGTTTTGCCACACAAAATCAGTGCAGTGGGCCATCATGTCTAAGGTCTTTTCTGGTTCTTTTCTAGCACCATAGTTCTTGGTGCTTCAAAAGAAAATGTCATAACGTTATGCCAAATATTGCCAGCATAATATAGCAATATTTATTTTTTGATATTAACAGTAGTATGGTTTGAGGATTTGTTCACCTTCTCAATATGGAAGTATTCTCAGATGGAAATTGGGGTTTTTGGCCCTGATAGCTACTACAGTAGCAGCTTTGGGGGGGTTTAACCTTTATCTTAATGCTCACTATGAATATTACTAATCTAAAATTTCCTTGACTTCAAAAATTCATCTGTAATATCAAAT